ATAAACTCATGACTCCCACGGGGGAGGGTTTCCGAGAGGCGTGGCATGAAACTGGACCTCAGAGAACTTCTGAAAAACTGCAGGTGAGACTTGGGGGTGCCCAGTTAGGAGGCCCCGCTCTAGCCATGCCGCCTTCTGTGAGTGGAGGCCCCGCCGGGCAGAAGATTGGGTGACCCCACTTGACTGTGAGCCATCGGGGTGAACTCACCGGGACGTATTTCTTTGGCAGGCCTGGGGGGTGCAGGGTAACGGGCTTCAAGTGACCCGGCGCTCCCCCGTCATTTCCACCCGAGTCCGCGCCCGGCCCACGCCCCGGCCAGCGCACGGTTCCGGCCACGCGCGGGTGATGTGGTGCCGCCGACTAGCCGCCGGGTCTGCTTCGCCTGAAGCGTCTGGCTCTGCCACCTCCCCCGGCCTCAGGGGGCGCCTCTGTCTGCTAACGCTGAGGGCCCCCACACCCCCACCTCACACACCCTGCCTGGCCTGCCGGGAGGTGCCAACCCCGAGGCTCGGTCTGCGTGGGTGCTGCCCGGGCGTAACCGAGGGCGCAGGGGCAAGCAGTGCCCTCTGGCTCTACCACTTTCCCAGTCAGCTCCACGGGCCCGCCCGTAAGTGACGACTCCACCATCTCTTCCTCTCCCTATTTGGAAAACGGGGTGACCAAGTGTCAGTCACCTACACTGGGACCCTCAGAAAGGAAGAACTATTAATCAGCATGTGGGGGCAGCAAGTGGAGAGTAGCCTAGCTCACACCACCTCGCTCGCCCTACTTACAAAGGACACGAGCAGAAGGAAGGAGACATTTGAGGAGGACCAGATACCCCCACGCATAAAACACAAAAAAATGACTTTCAAGTGCAGTAAGTCACTGAGATTCAGGGGTGCTTGTTGCCATAACTGACGAATACAGCCTCTCACAGAGTAACTGTTGCTCTCTAAAAGGGACCTAATACAATAGGGAGTGTATCACTGGCTGATTATTAGAATTATGAGCTAAGATATATGAAGTACTTAGAACCCGCTACACAGGGCCTCAGTAAATGTGACCCTATGATTATAATTACTAGTTATAGCAATAACACAGAATAAGAAAAGATTTTTTTTCTCTTTTATAAAATCTCTTTTATACTATGACACAGAAACCACTCCGGCTCCCATCACACAAGCTGCTTGCCCGTTCAGAAGCTGCCCTGTCCCCTTTCTCTCACTCGTTAGTCTCTTACCTATTTCTAGTCTTAATACTGTGGCACCACAGACCCCACTACAACTATATACTCCCTCAACCCTTTTCTCTTCAGTCATGTGTGTCTCCCCTTCACTTACCTTCATGCTGTTGCTTGCATCCACCCATTCCTCACTCCACTGAACTCTATTCTGACATTTGCCAAACTCTGTCAAAGGTCATCATGAACAATTTGTTGCTGACTGTTGGCCATCCTCTGTGTTAAATGCGCCTTGATTCTCAACAGCATTTGGCAGGGCCCATTGCTGCCTTCTTGTGATTCTCTCCTGTCTTGGCTACAAAATGCTTCTCTCCTGCCACCCCCTCAGGCTACTCATTTCCAGACTCCTGTGACTTCCGCTTCCTCTGCCGCCCTTCAGTGCTCTCTTAAGCTCATGGTTTTGCCGACCCTCTTCTCCTTACTTGCCAACGCATCAACTACTAGTCACATGCCAAGAATCTGAAAATCCATTCTCCAGTCGGATCTCCCTCCGACTGACCAGATGACGGGTGTCTCCTCTTGGGTATTCCACGCATGCCTCAATCCCAAGATGTTCACTGTCAAATTCATCATTTTACCTACCTGGCCTTCACTTGCTTCTTGGATTTCTTTGAATAAATGCTCTATCATTCACTTTTCTGGGTTGAAAAGGTACTCGACTCACTGGAATGTGCCATGTCCCAGAAAGCTCTCCCAACAGACTGAGTCAGCAGCCCCTCGTAAGCCCTTCATGTACTCTGAATGTGCCCCTCTCTGTAATTCGATTGCTGAATGACTTGCACTAAGCTGTGACCTTGATTAGGTGGGGAATTATTCACCTTGCAACTCCAGTTTTCTACACATTATCTAATGATGCTCAGTAAACGTCTCATCACTGAATGAACAGTGACAAACAGTCCCTTGGGTTCCCTCTCTGGACCGCAGGACTGCATGCACAGGTAAAAAGCCAAAGCAACGTGAAATGTTTGTGAGCACAGACACACAGTGTGGTAAAATGCTGTCAGTAGAGGTGGATTGCGAGAGCATATAGGTCACGGAAGTTATTCCATCTCCTTTGTCTTCTCTTCCCTTTGCTTGTGAGCCAATGGCACTGTGGTTCCCGGGACCCAGATAGCTGTGTGCTGCTTTCCCACTAACTGTATCTTCTTCACGACATAAAATTTCTTAATATTCTTACTTAATATTCAGGACATATTCCCAAGACAGATCATCTGAGTAGGTAAGAATTCTAATTCTCGAGACCAGCAGAGAATCGCCACCTTCTCGCATTATCAATCAATTTCCATTTAGTCTTTCTCTTTTCTGGATTCAATTATCTCAACTCCTTTAGCTATTCTATAAGTGGTGACATGCTGGATCAGCAAATTTAAATTTTTACACAATTCATTATAATATCAAATGAGATTTGTAGCTGACACTCACAAGGAATCAATTATTAATATTCGCTTCCAAATTCAAATTGCTGAAGTGTTTGTGGTTGTTTAAAAAATAATTTTTCATCATCCTATGATCATTTTCAATGGGTGACCTGCTGCCCTCCCAAGTCTTTGTCTGTGAGCCTTCAACCAGTTCAGTTATTCTTAATTTTGTCAGCTCAGTTAGTCTAAGGCAACCTGATTTTATTACAGAAAATGAGCAACAATGCACAGTTAATGTTAAAATGTTTTAAGAAGAGTTTGAAAATAGTTACTTGTCATTCCAGGAGGCTAGAGGGCCTTTAGTTGACTATTTATACCTCATCATTAAAAATAGATGTTTTAAATTGGTTTGATCATCTTTTCAAAACAAAGTATTTTGAAATAATGATCATGAGGCATTGTCACATGTAGGAGTTATGAAAACGTGAAGTTAGCACTGGCAAGTGGTTTTTAAATTATTCTTCCAATTAGGAATTAAGTCTGGAGAGCATTTAATTTTCATCTATTACCATCATTGCTATATATTCTTTGTAATGAATTGAAGTGTGTTCTGGACCAATTGCAGCAGACAACATTTCTTCCATTTCCTCTTGAGAAAAGGGCTCACCTGGGAGAGACAAGATGGGAAATTCATCATTTATGATCTTCTGGTCTTTTCTCTTTCTTTCTAGCAGCCAGATTAATTGCCATGGAGCCCCCAGGCCCCCATGTCACTGGTTACTCTCCCTCAGGCTGTAGAGCCAGAACATCATGACAGCCCGGAGGTTCAAAGAGCAAGGCACAGTGTCCTGTCAGAGTCTGGTTTTACTTCACTTTGCAATTGTCATAGCTCAAGCAACCTAGGAACTAATGAGTTTGACCACAACAGCACAAGGACACAAATACACCACGAATAAGGTGATTTACTTAAACAATTTAATAAAATTCTAACAGAAAATTAAATTGAATTATTTAAATTAAATGTAATAAAGCCATTAAAACTGACACCACAGCAACTGTAAGGCCCAGTCTTTTCCTTTCTCTTTTTTTTTTTTAAGATTTATTTTTACTTATTTCTGCTTACAAGAGCTGGGCATAGGCCAGAGGTGTAGAGAGGTAAGTGGACTCAACAGAGACAGAGCGGGGAGCAGAACTAGCAGATCCACTGAAATACACTGCTGAGGGGAGCAGCGGATGGAACAAGAGAGGTCAGCTGTGCCACGTGGGTCACTCCCTGGCTGGGATGGAACTCATGCATCAGTGGCTGGCGACAGCCTGACAGCACTGAGACTTAACCCCAGCGCCACCAGGGAGGCCCTGAAGTCCCAGTCTTACAGGAGTCTAGTCACTAGGTTTATGAAGAAGGATATTCATAGAGGGGGGTAAGTGGTCATGATGTTGAGCTGCTAAGGAGCAGATAACAGACTATCCCGCATATCTGAACATTCCCAGTCGGGTCTGGTCAACTTAGTGATGCCAGCTGCACCAAATGGCAGATACCATTCGTCAACCATTCAAAAAGCAGACATCTGTGTTATCATTTAGCCCACTGTTGATGTCAAATGAAACCAAAAGTTAGAGAGAAAATCTATGTAGGCTTTGCTTGGCTTCAGCTGAGGGCCACGTTGGTCTCATCAAGATGAGAAGCAAACAGGAAGAAAGCTGGAAAGGCTCTAGACTAAGACAGAACTTTGTTCCGATACAAACAATATGGAAACCTCCATCTCAGTCCAGCAGATATAATGGCAAGGCCTGAGGGCTCACCCCTCTGAGCTCCAGTCACTTGCCACCAAGCAATTTAAGAAGACTCAGTTAATGGTTCAGTGGAGTTCAGTTAACAATGCGGAAATTATTCAAGCAGGGGTTTCATGACAATGACATCAGTGTTATCAAACAAGGGGACATGTGCAAGTTCGTTTAAAATTATGGCTGGAGTCTAAGCAAAGGAGAATTTGGCATCTTTCTCGAGTGGTTGTTAGCCATTAAATCCACTGTCAAATGAATTCACATGAGCACCAGATAAGTTCTTAAAAGAATACAAATAACATTTATTGAACCAGATACTGATTTAAGAGCTTCAAGCATGCTGACTGATCCTCCCAGTCACCAAAGACCCGCTGTCTCCAAGACAGCTGAGACACCAGCAGCAAAGAAAAGAGGCAGCTGACCCTGACCCCCCACTCAGGGAACAGTCTGGCTCCGGGGCTGCGAATGCAGCCCACACTGCTGCCTAGAGCCAGGCCTGTCACAACCAACGACCGAAGGTGGGCGCACGGCAACCTGACGCAAGGAGAGATGGGAGTGCCGCAGGGGGGTGCTCAGAAACAGCTCTCGGGAGCCTGGCCGTCCACCTCTCTCACTAGTCTGAAGATCTTGGGCTTAACTTAACCTTTCTGGGCTCAGTGTTCCTGGCTATAAAATCGAGAGGATAATAATGCCACCTGCACCACAGGTGTAAGTTGTGCAGATTAATGCCTTATTATTTGAACAGACTTAGAACAGTGCCTGGCACATAGGCAGCAATCTGTGTTTATTTAAAAGAAATTTTGTTGAGCTCTCCCATGATGCTAAATACAGTCTGAGTCTTTACAAATGCCTGGACACGTGTGACTTCTATCCAGTCAGAACTTAATTTAATGTAGTTTAGTACATTCATCGTATGACCACCTGCGCAGTGATGGTTCTAGAATATTCTCACACTGATTAATACTTGGCGGCTACTGCGCAAAGTGGCGCTGTCTCTGTGTCCCTGCGATCTGTTCCTGACCAGCCAGCGGCAAACCCAGATACCCATCCCGGAGAAAGTCTGGTTGTCACGTTGAACTTGGCTCTGGTCTCTGTCCCCTGCTCTCCGTCACACACCAGGCCCAGCGGCTCCTGCTGCAGGCTGTCCTCGAGTCTCTTCCTCCCATTCCTGTCGCCACTGCTAGTTCAGGCTCTTATCAGAGCGTGTTCAAAATGCTGAGTTGGCCTTCCAACGGTCTCCCTGATCTAACCTTTTCTAATCCACCTGCTAGCACCAAATTTACCTTCCCACAGTCTCTCCTGCATCACAGGACAGATCTGCTCAAAACCCTCCCTGCGTCTCCACTGCTTCCAGAAGAATTCTCAATGGGTAAGCCCCGGCTCCACAGCCTAGTCCCAGCAACTCTATCTGCATTTATTCCTTGCTGCTTGCTAGAAGGCCTTCTGGAAACACTCTTCTCAGGGCTTCCACAGTGTCATGGCCTGTCCTCCCTCCCACTTTTGTTCATACTGTTTGTTTGCCTCTGCACCTGTTCGTCATTCACCTACTCATTCATTCATCACTCCAACAAATGAGACTTACTATGAGTGTGTGTGGGGGGGGTGCTGCAATGCACCCCCAGCTCTCAATAACTCACCCATATAAATTCCACCATCTCAAAAACCTATTTTCTTTTTAAGTCTTCCCAGACCAAGCCTTTCAGGCCGGTCAAGTCCACCTTGATCTTCTGAAGTTCTTTCTTATCCAATTGTCTAATGTTTTGGAATGCTTTATAAGCTAGTTTTATTGCCCAAATAGGATCATAATATCACTTGAGAAAGCAAGCAGATTTTGGTATCACACTTCTCACTGCAGTCAGTACCTGTCATGCACACAGAGTACCCCAGACTGATGATACTCAACTGTTGTAGCAACTCTACTAAATTCACATTGCCTGGTAAGATCTAGGATTTACCTCCTTCACATGAATCCTTAGATTTAGGTAGCTGTTGTTTTGAAAGTCATGACATGGCCGTCAGAGTTAATCCTATAATAACATAAGCGATGAGGCGATGCTATAAGGCTCGTGGGTGGTGGCTGGGTTGTAGGGGCACTCTTACTTTCATGCCCCATATCCTCACCTAGTGGCTGTTCAAGTCAAAATGGTCAAACCAGTTGTGCATATAGATGCCTCTGAGTTTTCCCTACTCAAAATAACTTACACATTAGATTCTTTCTCAAGGGACTCACGGGTCATCATGGATAAATGTGTATATGTGTATGTGTAATTCAAGTTCAAGGCAAATATATATATATATATATATGGCTTCACTGGCATAAAAATATTAAAAACTTGTTTGATTCAAATTCAACTGAACCTATAAGGAATAGAACTTCAACTGAAAAGCTCTGCAAAAGGAATTTCTCTATACTCCAATTCAAATCTTCAAGCTAGTAGCAGGCATAGATTTATCATGAGTTAGTTTATCACAATCAATAATTTTCCAGGGTGCATACTTTTCATTCTGAAAACACTACGTGAATGAAATGGCATCAATTTATAGAAGCATAATAATTATGCTTTACAACATCCTGTAAGGTAGTAATCTATTTCCCGTAACCTACCTTTGTCTTTTGTCACCTATACAATGGAAACCATCTCAAAACCAAAACAATAGGGATAGTGTATAATTGTATTTAACCTGAATGATTGATTTCACATAACTGTTAAGAAAGGCTGATCACTTCTACAAATCACGATTTTAAGTAATAAATCACTTTACCTTCTTCAGTCATGAACTTGATCAGTTCTTCCTTAGGAATAAATCCAAGTTTATTTGGATCTAATACCTTGGGGAAAAGAATAGACATAGTTTGGGCTTGATGAAAAAATTCTATATGATGAGCATTTCACACGGCTACAAGCATCTGTAAGATTTGGAGCGTACCTCAAAAGCTCGAAGAAGGACATCTTCTGGAACAGGTCTGTACCTAATGACACAATGAAAGACATGAGTAGCTGAGTCACTACGGAAGAAACAAACCGTAAGATGAAACCAAGTCTGCTTCCTGCGCTAATGCTGCTGCCCTCACTGCAGTCTTTACAGACTTCCAGACATGAAAGCTGAAAGTTCTCTTCACCTACCGGAAATGCTCTAGGTCCTAACCACTTGCATGCTTGGTGTCGTCTAGTAGCTTTTTCCTACATCATGGGAATCTTTACAGGGACCAAAATCTCTACAATAAACTAACCACAACAAAATAAGGTTACTCATCTTCTAAAGAAGATATCAGGGTTCACACTTATTCATCACTGATAGTTCAAAACGCAAGATAATAAGAATAGTGCTTATTTATGATTCTGTAGCTGTTTGCCCTTGATTATTCTTTGCTTATTAGATTAATACTAAAGTGGTTGACATTTCTAAGCATACACCAACAGTTTAGAAGTGAAATGGTAGAAAGAATTTGTGATAGATATTGAGTGTAATAAACAAAGTGAAAAAGCCAAATATTTTGAAAGTCTTTTAATTCCAGTCATCATTTTGCTTTAGCAATTGCATATATTCTCTTACCTTTTTTCCAGTAGTACTTGGGTCATTACTGGAAGAAACTTTTCATATCGAATGTATCCAGTGGGCTCTTCTTCTTCCACCTACACATTCAATAAAAAAATATAAACACTTATTCACTCTTTTTTTTTTTTAAAGATTTATTTATTTGTGCATACAGAACTGGGGTACAGGCCAGAGGCTCAGGGGCAGTGAGAGGCTTCACCAGAGACAGAGCAGGGTGCAGAACAGGCAGATCAACAAAGTACACTGCTGAGGGGAGCAGCGGGCGGGTCAGGAGAGGTCTGCCACGCCATGTGGTCACCTCCGGGGCAGGCGGGAATCGAACTCATGAGGAAGTGGCTTTAGATTCTCAGTGCTGTGCTTTAACCCGCTGCACCACCAGGGAGGGCCCCAACAAACGTATCTTAACAACTACTTTTTCCAAGCACTGCGCCCAGTGTGGGACTTGGTGATGGGGACACTCAGGCATAATTCCTGCTCACTGATGAGAAACAGAGATGATGAAGAGCCATGGAGATAGAACAGCACAGAGAAGAGGAGACTTTTCTAGACCCAGAGATCAGGAAGACATTTATGAGAAGTTGTATTTAAAATGATTTATAAAAGATGGGAAGCAGGTAATTAGACAAAGACAGCAGGAGAGAGACTCCCGTGCGGAGGAAATGACATGTGTCAAGATCCTGAAGGCCACCACGCTGGAGCATGGGAACAAGGAGAAAGTTCGAGATGCAGCTGCAGAGAGCTGGAGACCAGGCAGGTCTGCTCACTGATGCTATCCTGAAGCCAGTGGGAAGTCACTGAAGGGCTCACAGATGTGCTGCTTGAAAGATCACACTGGTCATGTGTGGGAGGTGGCTTCTGCTCTAGTCAAAGAAAATGGAAGAGTTTGGACTGGACTGGTGGCCATGGAGAGAGAAGTAGATAGTTTCACGATATATCTGAGAAATAAAATAAACAGGATTTGGTGCTGAATTTACCATGAGTAAGCAGGGGGAAAACAGCCTCAAGGACAAGCCCGGGATTCACGTCTTTGCCCCAGAAACTCTGAAGAAAGAGCCAGGTGAGGGCACCAGTCATTATCTCAAAGACAAAAGCAGAGATCAGGGTCTCCCAGGTAGCCTGGGGGCTAAGTCTCAGCTTATGCACCCCCAAGGCCAGGGAGTGACCCACAGTGTGCTACAGACCTACAGACCTCTCGGTCTCCCCCGCTGCTCCCCTCATTGGTGTATCTGCTCCACACTCTGCCTCTGGTGAATCCTCTCACCCCCGCCCCACCACCCCTGGCCTGTATCCCAGTTCTTCCACAAAATAAATAGAAATATTTTTAAAAAGCAAATATCAAATCATTACTAAATACTGTCTGTAATGGTAAATGGAACTCTGTTACGCCACCATTAACTAAGAATCGTCTCTCTTGCCTTGAGAGAGAACTGTTGGTACCTAGCACTATTAGGTGAGGGTGAGGCAGACTGTGATGGTGTGGCTGAGCAAAACACTATTGATCTTGACTTCCTGTCAGCCTATTTGCGAGGAGCTGTAAATTTCCCCTCCCTTTCAAAAATCCTATTAAAAGGCTCATAGAATCCAATTCAACAGAGGAACTTTTAATAGCTGTATTCCTTGAGCAAAAAAAAAAAAACAAGAAACCTGAGGGTTCTGCTGGTGGAACATACAAATGACAATTATTTTTTTAATTTATACTAGATTTTCACCTGCAAGGGCGCAAGCCTTGGAGCGCCACAATCAGCAGAAAATGTCACCCTGCTAATGACAGCGGGGTAGGTTTTAGGCTGTCAGAGGTTGTCAGTGTGTGAGCAATTGTCTTGAGCTGCCTCGGCCCAAGGGCAAGCATTTTGCAAATGAATGCTCCCTGGGCGGCAGGTGTGCTCAAGTAGCCCTCTGCCACTCCCAACCCCAGGAGTCTCTTAAAAATAAAATGTCAACCTCCGGAGACTACCTGCAGACGGGTAAAATTTAAAATTAAAACTACCTGATCACTCTAGAAATTTGCTCTAGAAACTGGAGTGATGGTTTTCTTCCCTTCCCCTCACTCACAACCACCCTGGAGGTGTCTCCGAAAGATCAAAGCCCTCGTGCCTTTGAGCACCTCATCAACATACCAAATGTCTGCAGCTTTCCCCAGAGAGCTGACGCTGCGGCACTCTCAGACGGCAGTGTGAGGCCTCCCAAGCAGCACGTAACCTGTGTTCTGCAACGCCCTCGGGCTCCACACGACCCCTGAGCCCTTGGGCTCCCAACACCAGGGAAAGCTGCCTGTCTCTCCGGTGATGGATGTGCGTAGAGCAAAGCACACGACAGTGAGTTAAAGCCAATCTCCACTGCCCAGGATGGCTGAGAGTCATACATTTTCTTTGGCATTAAAAAAAAAAATTATAAACACTGGCCTTATGGTTAAAAGTGAGAAGGGAAATGAAGAAGTCCATCTTCACCTTGGGCAAGCTTGGACTCTTTCTGTGACCCAACACTGTCCTCTAGAGGCCACGTCAAGCCTGCTCGGCTTGACAAAAAGATCTCTGCCGTGGCAGAGAGAGAAGTGCAGTGGAACTGTAGGCGTGCATTCGCGGGCTGTATTGCCAGAACCCATGCGACAAGTATTTTTGTACTTAAATACTTTATTTTAGATTTTTTTCATGAAATGTTTTCTAGCACCACTGCTGTGACACCCGTGACCCACCACCGTATCCCATGTGTTCTTCCCTTGCCTGTTTGTTTCCTATTTAGAGAAGTCGCAAAGAGAGGGTCTCCCTTGATGCGCTAGCCGGGTGCCCTACTGTTAATCTTTACATTGCTATGCTGCGAACCAAGGCGGATGCGTTACTGGTCACTAGGCTCCACGTTACACTTGCATTCCCTTAGTTTTCCTGAAAGGCATTTTTAAATTATGGCATATTCCTCCATCCGAAAAGATTAAGAGTTAAGTAGATGACCACTTTGGGGAATCTGGACCAGTGTGGAGCGAGAAGAGACGAAGAGAGGGTTGCATCTCTTCTGGGGAAGGACAGGCTAATTAATTCCATGAGGTCAGTTGTCAGACAGGACAAAAACACTACTTTCTAGAAATGTTATACAATAATGGCTCAATGATTATTTAAATCCATGGATTAAAATGTCTTTAAGACTTAATGGAAATATATTAAATATTGAACCATACTCCCAAATTCTCTCATCAGACGTTGGTTTTGTTCTTTATCTTCACTGAGTAAAACTTGACTTGTAAAACCCAGTGCTGTGTATGTGTGTGTGTGTGTGTGTGTGTGTGTGTATACACCTACATATACACATAGTAGAACAGCACACAGAGGGCTAGAGAGAGAGGTATAGAGACAGACACACGGAAGGAATGTTACAGGTTATGTCTCCTCTAAGTCCAGGTATTGACATCCTAACCCCTGGTACTCAGATGACTCCTTTGGCTGGGTGGAATATTTAGAGTTAATAAATTTAAGTGAGGTCGTGACCCAGTAGTGTCCTCAGAAAATGGGAAATTTAGGGCCCTCCCTGGTGGCGCAACAGGTAAGGACACAGCACTGCAAGCTGGTCGCAGCCTCTTCAGTACCAGTTCCATCCCCGGCCCCGGAGCTGACCCACATGGAGCGGCAGACCTCTCCTGACCCACCCGCTACTCCCCTCAGCAGTGTACCTCATTGATCTGCCTGTTCTGCTCCCTACTCTGTCTCTGGTGAAGCCTCTCACCACCCCTAAGCGTCTGGCTTGTACCCCAGTTCTATATGCATAAATAAATCTTTTTTAAAAATGGGAAATTTAAATGCAGACTGGGAGAACACATGGGGACAGGATGGGTCGCCTACGAGAACTGTAAGGTAACCAGCGTGGGTTGTGTGAGCCACTGTCTGTGCCACTGGCACAGCACCTCTAGCAATTATGTGTGGCACATTCTAATCCAAGGACCCTGGATCACCATCCTGAAGCAGAAGTTCCTACACTTATCAATCGGAGATTAGCAAGGCAGATATGCAAAATTCAGAACTGATTTTGCAGAGTGGATAGAGAACATGGTAGAGTACAGATTTATTTTCTCATTTAATCAACTTATAATTAAATGAGCTCAAGGAAGATTCCCTATATTTTAGCAGACATGTTCTAAAGGACTAGGAATGTATTGCCATTTCTTTACGGGCAACAAAGGCATACTGAGAAAATCCACCTGACATTTATTATTTGTTTAAGGATTTTTAAAAATAGATGTTGCTTTTCTCACAAAAAAATACTGCAATATCTTTGCTATGTAATACCAAGGGCAGTTAAAAATACTTTGATTTGGGATGGGGAGGGAGGAAGGTTGGGTCTGGGCACAGGTAGTCTGGTGGAGGGGAAAAAAATTAAATATTTTGATGAAGACTCAGTTTTCCCCACCACAACAAAAAACACTGAATGAAAAAAATAAACTTTATCCTCTAGGTCAGTGTCCTCATTTGTAATATCCACCTTACAGGGCTGTGGTGAACGGCTACATGAGATGTGACAGGAAAGTCCTTTGTGAACCAGCACGTCTGTAGTGGCGACTGTTACCTGGATCAGTAGTGGTCACACCTCTGGCTCCGTAACAGGCCAAACAGCTCCCAACAGGTCAGTGTCTGGGCTGCAATTTCAGGCCCATCCTCTGTGACCCGCCATGTTTATACGAAGCTCTGGCCCTGCTACTATCTGTAAAACGCTGCCTGGGGCCGGGCAAGAACAAGTCAGGTTACTCTTCCACCTAACACCGTTCCCTGTGCGCCTCCTGGGCGTAGGGTCAGGGCAAGTGGGAAGCAGTGATGTGCGCACCTCCGGCGCTTCCCTACAGGCCTCAGTAACGGCCACCAAACCCATCTCCCCTCAGGAGACGAAAACCAACCAAATATACCTTGTTATCACAAGCACGAATGAGGCAGAGTAAGTTATATCTACTTTGTGTCACCTAGGAAGAGGGATAATATACTGAAAAGCAGGTAATCAACCTGCAAGTATTACAACAGGCCTCCTCTGCAGGAAGCTCCGCCAGCGGAGACCTCAAGAGCTTTTTAGAGTGAATACATCTCAGTAACAAATGATTACCTTA